GTGTTTTGCCTTACAGGAAAATAACGCCCCCAAGAAAGGGGTTTTAAAAAACGGGTTTTTTTTTTTTTTTTTTTTTTTTTTTTTTTTCAGCAGTAGTATTATAATCCTGTCCTGTTTTGTAAGGGTGTGATGTACAAGATCAACTACAGGAACCAGACGTGCTGCAAGAAGCGCCTGAACCGATGTTTCCACCCGCTGGCCATCCCGCATAATGCCTCCCTGCTGGGCCAGGCCGTGCTGGGCAGCTCCTCCGGCCCTGGGCAGGGGGTCCTGGTCAACACCTGGACCGGCCAGCTGCAGATGAGGAACAAGACAGGTACGACAGGAGGAAAAACAGAATCATGTGGTGCTGCAGGAAGCACATGACCTTTCTTAGAAAAAAAAAAATCCCTGCGCGGGATTTCCAGAGCAGAGCAGAGCAGAGCAGAGCAGAGCAGAGCAGAGCAGAGCAGAGCAGAGCAGAGCAGAGCAGAGCAGGTCAACCTGTCGGTTGACCTGCTCTGTGTTTACCGCAGTGAAGTACATGAGTACCGTGACGGAGTTCGGCTGCGTTCCCGTCACCACGCTGTTCCACAGCTGCAGGGACGGATGGAGGATCACCAGGTTGGTGCCTGAGGCTTTAGAGGCCTGAAGGGTTTCACAGTCTGACAAATGTCATCCAGAACTACTGCCATGCAGGGCTAAATTTGAAAATGTACCAGCAAAACATGGGCGGACATTTATCATTTATCCTATTGTTTATCGTGATAAATCTCATGATGATAAGAATTTTAATTTACTGTTTATTGTCACAATAAGTTCCAAATAATCCTGACAAAACTATCGGTATTATCAGGATTGTGAGTCTTATTATTTTCTCCACTGTTTGCTCAATTATCAATCAATAAAAAAGTGAAAAAAAATATGTTGATCTCAATTCACTCAACAGTTTGTTGAGCATCCTGCTCTCAAGGTTGCAGGTTGAAGAGGCACAATTTTTTTCCTTCAAGTTTCTGTTCCTCTAGCCGTGATCTTTTGTGGCGGCCTGGCCTTGTGAAGGGTGTCCATGTCTGTCTCCTGGACGTCTGTCCAGTTAGACGTCCTCACTATGGCTGTGTTCTACTGACCCAGACTAAGAGGGTCAGGAAACTCAACAGCTGTTTTCAGTTAATTAGCTAATCACACGGTGGCTCGATGACTTTCCAGTGTTTAAACTTTTCACAGCATACATATGTCTTACATGTCTTCTTTTTTTCTCTCAGCTTCTTCAACAACGTGTTGGGGCTGTCTGATCCTCAACAGCTCATCCCACCGAATTTCTGTGACGACGCCAAGTTGGAAGAAGAGGAAGGGGAAGAGCCAGCCACCTTCTACAGCTTGTTCTAGAAGATTCTTATGAATCTGGTTCCCTTTGTGAATCTTTGCACTGACCTATCACTTCCTTTAGTCCTTGATAAAGAAACTTTAAGTGGATAAAATCTTTGCCATCAGCCTGTTACTCATTCAGCTGTTTGTGTATAAATCAAATAATGTAAAATTTAAATTGAGTGTAAATAAGTATCAAGATATATTTTTTTGCATTTTTTTTCTCATCACGTATGAATAAAGCTCTAAAAGTCAACTTTTTGAGACGTCATAAATGTTTGATTTGATATTGTTTGTCATGGCAACACACTGTGATTGTGTGACTCTGAAATGTCTGTTTCTATAAAGCATCTCAATAAATCAGAATATCATCAAATACCATAAAGAAAATGGTTATTTATTATGATTCCTTAAGCTGAATGAAATATTTTAATGACTGTTATTACTTGGAGTAAATAAAAACCCAAAAGTAATTCTCTCAAAAATATTAATGTTACATTGTACAATCACAGAAACGGACTCAACCATGTATTTTCTGGGATCTCTGTTGTTGAATAAAACTTGGCCACTAGATGGCGGTAGACATTCGGCAATGAGAACGTTACAGCGGAAACGGGTCTGAGTGTCGGATGGAGGAACTTGTTGAATATTACATTAATCTTTAATGTTCGCTCATTCTGGAAATTCTTGAGAAAATTATGTTTTTTAAAACATAAAGAGAGCTAAACCATATTTTCTTGGCTGTCAGACAGCATCATTTTAATTTATTCATGATTTTTTTTTTTTTTTCGTAAAATGTAAACATTTCCTGGTGGGATAATTTTCTTTCTTCTTTTTTTGACAACACAAATGATTACGTTATTCTGCATTACAGAAATATGGCGTTTTTATAAAGCTGGGTGTGTTTGAATATCCGTGTGTAGATATGAAACACAAGTCTACACACACACTTCAATAACTTAAAATTTTATTTGTTTACATCATGATGAGCAGTCACTTGGTAACAGTAGTAACACACACCCCTTAGCACCCCGACCTCCTGCACCCCAACGTCTGCCGCGGCCAGCCCCTGACCCTGAGCGGCCGTCTCTAACCACACCAGTCTGGCATCAGGATCCTCGTCTGAGAACTGGAGCAGAGACCCGGAGCGCCGTAACACCTTCAGACACTGCCTCAGCACCGAGGCCGCCTTCTCCGCCCCCTCCTTGGACCTCAACAAGGCGTCTGTGGTGCCCTTGTCAACAATAAGATCCAGACTGCTGGGACCGTAGTGGCTGTCAAGCTGGGTGCAGTCCAGTTCTAAAAACTCCATTTGAGAGGAAGCGTTGCGAGGTCGGACGGGGTTAGCCCGGACGTGCTCCCGCATTAGCCGCACGGCTACGGGGGAGATGTCGGCACAGGTGACTCGCACTGGCAAAGTGGAGTCTCTGTAGATGGAGGGGCCTAACGCAGATGTGCCACATCCCATGTCCAGGACCTGGACAGGACGGCGTGAAAGGGACGCAGTCTGTAGGAAGGGCGTGATGAAGTCCTGCACAGCATCGAAACCGAAGAACCACTCAAAGTTTTTGAAATTGGGACTCCTGCTGCTGGTCTCTGAGTAGAAACGGTCCCATGCTGATTTCTTATCCATGTTTTCCATCAGCTCAGCTAGACGCGAGAAAGTGAAAAGAGACACAGTGGTTACCAGGACAACGTGCACAGCTTACCATCTAGTCCTGACTTATAGTGTCCTGCAGCTCTTTACTACCAAGACATGGCATACTTTAAACACGCAGACAAGGACGATATTTATCAGAGATTCATAAAGGAAGTTATCTTAGCAGGTTTAGCATAACTTCTGCTTTAGCATAATTTCCATTTCAGTACAACATCCATAGTGGTTTTTGTTGTCGTGTTGCTGCATTGTGATTTTTACATTTTACCCTAAATTCTGCATTAGCATAGCCTCAATGTTTTAACATAAATTATTTTTTTATCATAAATTTATCATTGTTGTGTTGTTGCACTGTGACTTTTACACTTTGTTGATCCTTCTGGGCTACCATACAAGTAAAAGTCCAATATATCCATTTGAAAATGGATGGCATGAAGGCCTACCAAGACATTTCATCCTTAAGCAGCCAGACTGACAATGACAACATTATGTTAAGTTATGCTAGCAAGGTTGGCATAACCTTTGTTTTAGAATAAATTCCTTTTTAGCATAAATTCCAGTGTGGCTTCTGTGTAGACCCTTTTGAGCCACCATACAAGTAGAAGTTCAAACTAAAATCTTACCATGCTTTTTGCTGTCCAGCCAATCAGACTGAGCTTGACTTATTTTGCAGAGAAGAATGAAAAAAAAAATGCAGTCTTTTGATTAGAAAGCTGGTAGTGACATACTGTAACATTTTAAAGGTGGTTATACATAATAATTGACTCAAGGTGGCTGAATATACCTGCACACCACACCGACTTCTCAGATTTTCATTTCTAAATACAAAACCAAAATACATTTTCCTTCAACTTAATTATGAACTACTTTGTGGTGACCTGTTGGATTAATCCCGAGAAAACACAATGAAGTTTGTGGTAGTTATATAAAAACCGTCGTGGACAAACTTTGCAGTTGAACCTCATGTTTTTAGCTGTGCCATATGCAGTTGTTGAATACATTCGCGATAAATCTTCACCAAACAAGCCATTAGTTCTAGCCTTTGTGCTACTCTAAATGTCAACAGCTAACCTTTTGAACGAAAAACTCTATTTAGCTGGTTAGCTTAGAACCACTAAAGAAAATAACGAGACTATCTTGACATGAATAATTCCAACTTTGGACATACTTGTCACTGATGAATGCTGCCTTATACTCCTGGAGAATACTCTTCTGCTAGCCAACGTGAACGACTTTGTGAGAGCAGACATGTTGGTTTGTTTTCTCCATAGCTCAACCACAGAGACAGAGCTCTCACTCTGACCACGAATTCTATCATATTTAATTTACTCTAGAGTCCAGGAAAACGTAAACGAGAAAACATCTCGTTTTAATGTACGATCTTTGGTTAGTTTACATATATAGCATAGTTCTAATATTCAGATATTCATGAAAACAGTTGAAAAACAAAAGACAACTAGCTGTTTGATTTATTCGTTTATTTTTAATTTTATGACGATTTCTTAAAAATGTCGCTTTTCGTTTTTATAGCTAAAAATAAAATTCAATTCAAAAATACTTATTCCTAAAGGGAAATTACATGTTGCTTTAAATCATATCACACAGATTTCTTCAAAGAGCTGTAGACGCTGATGAAGAATTTCAGTTTAGAAAAGTGTCTTCAGGGCATTTGGTTATGTGTGCACAGCCATGTTGGAATCCTGAATAGAACTAGTTTTTTTTTTTTCTTTTTTTACAGCTTTTGCACTTTTATTGTAAAGACAAACAGCAGAAGGCAAATAATAGATTCAAGACTCAACGTTTCTACGGAAAGTATTAACTTTCTGGATGATGTCTCTTAAAAACATTTTTAGAAAAAAGAAAAATGATACATTTGGTATAACTCTTGGCCATTTGTTAGTGTCTTGTAGTTTTTCCTGATCAAAAAAAAAAGAGCAAGATCTGAGTCAGAGAAAAGGCAGCAAATAAGATGTAAATTGCTTTAATAAACCTCAATGAAACGCAGTGTACCAAAGGAAGAGAATCAAACAAAGCAAGTAGATAACATTTACAACCACAAAAGAAAAAAAGAAAAAAAAACTGTACAACTAATCGACTGGAGTCACTTCTATTTTCCAACTATTTTTTTTTCCCCGTTAACCATTTGTGTGATGGCGGAGGATAGCCTGGGTGTCGGGGGTGAGGGGAGGTCTGGAGTAAGGGGTAAAATGAGACGCATGTGATTTTATCGTTTTATTTCCAAATAAATGAGAATCATCTCAGACACAGATGCGATTTGTACATCAACGTGGCAGCTGATGTTATTTTTTGTTTGTTTTTTCTTAAACGCTCCCCCTGCGGAGCGCAGCTTGAGGAGGATGTGATCTGATGTGGCCCAGGAGTGTTATTTGTACAAGATGTCGTAATGGCCTGGTCTGTACAGCAGGAAGATGCGTGGGTCGCCCCCTTCAGGGAAGATGTGGTTATTGACAGACCCTCCTTCCCCTCTGTCCATGTACTCCACCAGAATGGATACATTCAGGGCCTTGGCTAAGGCAATGATGTGAATGTGGTCACTTTCTTTAGACATAGGTTCTACTTCCTAGGAAAGGAGAAAGGAAAAAAACAAATACCCGATAAACTACATATTCACAAACATTTCACGTAAGTTCATTCAAAAATCCTCTTTAATGATATTTAAGTATCTATGTTTAGCTATAGGAAGACAGTAGAGAACAACATATAAACATAAATATAATATTTAACAGTATTATGGAAAATGTAAATTATGTCTAAATTAATTTGGTGCTTGAGGGTTATCTTTTGAGGGCAGATATTATTAGCGCTTTAGGATTACCTTTTACTAAATAGCACATCGGGGTGGCATGTTATCGGAGCTAATGTTTATGATTAGTGCAACTAACTTTTTTTAGTTAGCAGTGCCCACTGCTGCTGTTTTATGTGCAGTAGTAAAAATTAGAATCAGCGGTTAAGACCTGAAAGACAATCACCATCAGCCGGGGGAAAAAACGTGACTTCCAGTTTCTATCTTTATCACGTTTCTCTATAAAACAACTTTTATCCCAAACGCTGCCCACCTGCTGACAGAACTCCTTGATGGTACGTCCTCCCTCGATGAAATGCTCGAAGAAGCCATGCTCTCGCTGCAAGTAGCCTGAGGTAAGGAGGCGCAGGTAAACGACAACGTAGTCGGACATATTCTGGTCGTTGAAAAAGTTCAGCAGCTCCTGCAGGCGGGGATGTTTCTCACACAGTTCAATCAAGTCCATGAACTGAGGGGAGCAAAAAATAATAATTAACTACTAAAAAAATCAAGACAAAAAAAATATTGTGTACTTTAGCCATCTCGGCAAAAAAAAAAAAAAAGAAAAAAAAAAAAAAAACCCACATAAAAAAAAACAAAAAAAACACTAGAAAAAAAATAG